GTTTTACACACTTGCAAACTGATTTTACAGCCTGACTAGGCTGTTTGTTATCACGATTTGGCTATCTCAATGCTGTAAATTAACCACTTCGATAAAATTAGAAATTTCGTTTCGTAAAATATTGTGTTTATTATGTTTATGCATGGCGTTGAAGTAAATGTTTGTAATATGATACTTAGACAGTTATATATGTATAACAAGCATAACCAATTTTAGCGTGAAAGCATTTTATTGTATAAATGTTTATCTACGGATAAAAATCATCAATAATATTAGTTAAAAGTTATATCCACATTTTGTTTGAATGAAGATTTTTTACTACCACTCATGCTTTCAATTAAAAAATACATTTTAAATTAGTTGACAATTTTTATAATGATACTAGGGCACACTGAAAATATTACTAAGATATTATGGAAAATATCCCAAAGCTGTAAATAAATATATAAGGCATAACCTAGCTGAAAGATTTGACTATTGATTCTCAGATTTCAAATTAGTAGTAGGTTCATAGACCAGTTGTATTCAAGTTCTTAATGAAAATCATAGAAAATGGTGATTTAAGGTGTACGAGTAGTATTTTTTTTTTTATTTAGGCATTTTATTGTATGCATAACCGAAGAACAAAATGATGCCATACCACAACCACTTAAACTGTACAGTCAATTTGCAATTTGAAAAGTCTGTTTTTAATTTAACAGTAAAACGTTATCCAACACCATCTTCTTCTCTTTAGTAACAATATGGTTGCAAATTTATTTAGCAATAGCGACATTGACTATTCTACTAACTGCGGACTCGGAGATCAGAGGTTATCGTTCGTTGATCTTAAACATGCGCTCTAAAACCCACGGATCTCATAACGTTACCCTCCTACGACCAAATGTGGGACAAAGAAGATATTGCAGTGCAAAGAATAAGGTTAACGTGAAAAAAAAATATATATTTTTTTCAGTATAAATAATACAAGAAAAGATTATGGGTTTTAAAAACTCTTAATACAATTTTTATTCTGAAACACTTCGTAAAAGACTAAATTTGGAATATACCCTGCATCGGAATGATATATGTATAAAATTTTTACTTCAGGCGATCCTCAACATGTTTCCCATATTTAACAGTAAACCTTTTTCTTTACCAGTGTAAATGAGGGTATCACAGTGTAAAGTGGTAATGTCTTGTTACGACATAAAATCTTTAAAGAGATTCATTGAAATAAAATCCATGTTTATAGATAAATGTAAAAACTAATTTTAAAGTAACATGGTCTGGGCAAAGCAAATATGTCAGTACTTTAATAGCACAGAGATTTACCCAGTTTGGCTGTTCCAACCAAATAAAAACTAGGGATGACTAGGGAACTAGGGACTCATCTAAGTTTTTACATAATCATCCTAGGTGAGTAATAAAATAAACTATAAAGACTTGTGATATATCTTGTTTTCTTTTTTAATAATATAATAAAGAGATTACTTTCAAATATATTCAGTAGTTACATACACTAGTACACTACTTAGTATGCACTATACATCACATGTGTACTCTTAAATATATTTTATTAAAAAAAAAATGGATTTGTAAAATGTTCTAAGGAATCACAAAGCATTATTTAAAGTTCAACAGGCGATAAATATTTCGCCGAAACATGTGGCTTTGAAGCAAAATCAATCCTTGACTTATGAATTCTCGTAGGGTAATTTTCTCCCTTCCCCTTGGACCAGAAGCACTCTTAGAGAGGAAATAATTAATTTAACTTTTTACCCAAGGGGTCGCTTTAAATAATGGCTCGTGATGGTAGAATTTACAGATAAAATCAATATATGTTAGCGAAAACATTTCCCATCTATCCATATGTAAGACATGATACACTGTTAGATTTTAGAATATCTCACGTTCGTAATTGAGTAGCAAGTGCACAGTAAATAAATTAAGTATTTATACACCTTAATGGAAAAGCTATCTTCAATATAGATTTAAATATTTTTATATAGCCTAGTATTATAAGTTACAATCAGACATGTTCTTAGACACCATGATATAAGTCTACAATCATGGAGAAGTCTTTTTAAAATGTTATAATCCTCCAGTTTTGTAATTTGAGAAATCATAATTAAGTTTTTAAAAAAATATATTAAAATTTGGTAGCTTATGGTGTAAAACGTATTAGAACACATATTTTTAATATAACCCTTTAAATTAATGACAGTTTATCTTAAGCTGTGTTTCTACCCTTTAGATATCACTGTTATATAATATAATTTTAGAAATATATAAGGTATTAGTATCAGTTTCCGGATATTCAATCGGCTTCAAAAGGATCTCGCAGTCGGAGTATTACTGTAATAGGTTTATTCAATATGGAGCTAGATGGATTAATCTTTTAGTTTTCATGAGATCTTAAGAATTTTATATGTGCATGATACAGTTGACGTAGTGTAATAAAAAACTTACCAAACTAAGCGAAATGTCTAATAGTTATTTGTGCAACTAGTGAGCAAAGGGAGCAATTGACTCACTCGAGAGAAATACTTACTCACAAGCCGTAGGCGAGTGAGGAATGATTTCTCGAGTGAGGCAATTGCACTTTGCACTCGAGTTGCACATTATATTTTTCCTTCAGTTACCATAAAACAAATAAATTGGTAAAGAAATGTAACATATTTTTACACAGAAGTAAACTTTTAATATGACATTTAATGATACAACAGTACAACAGCTGACCAGCCGATTTACAGCCAGTGCTGCCAACGTATTTCGCGCGCATACGACCTTGTCTGCATGTTACGTGTTCACAATTTCATGCCTTCACGTTGCAAATCTGGAGTGAGACAAAGTAATTAGAGTGAGACAATGTTAACATTGTCTCACTGATGAGCGAATTGGCCACTTTGCTTTCTCAAATCAGTGAGAGAACATGTACACTTTTGGGTAACTGTAGGAAAAATAATTTACCATTTTACGTCCTACGATTGGAAGTTAAGTTGCATTTTCTAAACATTCTCTTGAGTAAAGATATAAATAAAAGCTCTCACACAACAACATTACTAGTATGATCAACTAATCAAACCGTACAAATAAAATAAAGCTTGTTTTACAAATAAAATCTTAGAATAGCTAACAAATTCAGCAATTTTCTTTTTCAAACATTGGAGTTCAACACTTACCACACTTTAAATTTATCTCTGACAACTCAGAAGATAAGGATATAGACCATCGTTGGTTGGATCCGACCCAACTATCCTAAATCCAATCAGCTTAAGAAATCTAATACCAATCCATTGTTGGACATAATTTTCAAATATATTGATAAGAAAAATAAGATTAAGTTAATTTATTTTTAGGGACAGTTTCCTAAAGTATTTGTGAAACTTTGAGGAATACATACATCTTTCTTTTGAATATCTTAGAAAGGTGAATCAAACATATATGCATTGAAATTGCATGTCTATCGTGTTAGTGTTTTGTAAAGATGAAAGAAATTAACAGGAATCCATGAATATATATGGGGGGATAAAACTGCATTGTAAAACCTAAATAGATTTGAAAAGGAGATTTACCTAACTTACAAAATTATTTCAATATAAGTTTGGGTCAAGATAAAACAAAATAGTAGTTACTGATCCATACAAAATTAAGGATGTTCAGAATATGGTTCATAGTTCAGTTGTTCATTCAACATTTAAAGTCTTTATTCTACTTTTCCGAAAAAATACACTTAAACATATATTTACACTTATATGCTTTTGTTTTTTACAAGACGGTAAATAGACTCACGAATTGGTAAGATAAAAAGGAGTTGATTAAGTAGTTATTTTTTATTGCAAGGGATATATTGATTTTGAATTCCTTAAAGCATTTGTGTCGTAGTCACCCCATCCCTTAGGCTACTTGGGGTCTTGAGGGAAGAATTAATTAATTCAACTTTCCGACGAAGTGAACCATCTGGCCTAAAGAAACTTTTAACTTCCTTTCAAATTCATTAAAATAAAAAGAATTATTTGTAGGAGTTTTAAGCGTTAAATTAATAGATTTTTCTGAAAAGATTTCGTACGGTAACAATAGAGTGCAGTAAAAATTCTCTATGTTAATGCTTAATCCTAAAAAAGGCTATTTTATTTACTTAGTAATGTCCAGCTGTTGATTAATAATTACTATATCAATTTCACAAATCAAATCTTAATGAACGATCTTGATAATAGCCGCAATAAAATACGTGAACTATTGTTTTAGTGGCTGATTCTATTGCATTCTGACAAAAGCTTTTTATGGCTAGTGTAAATATTTAAAATAGTAAGGTGTCACAATTTTCATCTTTAGGTCAATGTTTTTAGTTGGAATACTAACTATAACAACAATGACCACTGGATTTTTACACGCAAACCATACACAACTTCAGGTAGGAATTTTTATTACAGTATAACATTAGTAGAAGAATATCTAATTGTCATTGTATGCAACCGATAAAATACCAGCGTAGATATCAATGAATTCATTATTATTTGCAGCATTCACGCGTATGTAGAAATCACATACAAAATGTAAACACATTGTTAAATTTTACAAAACAGATGAGAACACACAAAATACAATCCTGTAGCGATAACTAGTACAAAATTACTTTTTTTCAATGTACTTTTTTCAATAACTGGTAAGGTGAGTGTTTACATAGCACGCTAAGTAATCAAAAGGTAGCTGGTAGGATCTTGAGAAATGTTAGTAAAGTTTTGAAAGCTTGAAACTTAATCCAGCTGTTCTTAATCATTGGGCTTTTGATAAATGGTTCTGGCTGATGAAACAGCTGATCTTAGTAACTTAAAAGGCTACTAAAGGCATCTAACATAATTCTTTACTATGCTTAAATTAAAACGATCACCTATGTCCTTATCTCAATTGCCACATGAAGTGGTAACATTTGTTACATTTTAATGTATTGGTATGTAATTTATTTTTTATTTTTACTCCTAATGTTTATTATTGATTGCAACTGCTTTTGTTTTCAGAACACTTCCACAAGTAACTTCCTTGACGTTGTAAACGGTGTGTATTTCATTGATAAAACCTTATTGATTGAGGATTTACTAACTGAACTAAACAAGAGGAAATCGCCAAAAAAACAACGATATATTAAACTGTTGGCACCACGGAAATTTGGAAAATCCACTAACTTGAACATGATTAGGAGATTTTTTCAAATACCAGTGGGTGAAAATGGTAACTTATTGAATGTAAATAGCTCGCTAAATTTCCAAGTGTTTGCCAACAACAACTTGAATATATTTAGAAGAAAAGAATTGTTTATTAAATATTTCGGAACATACCCCGTTATATTTATAGATTTAAAGGATCTAATAAATATTACAAGTTTTGAAGATCTACTGGTTCGTCTAAGATATGTGATAAATACATCATTTAATGAACACAAATATCTTTTACAAATTAACAGTCTGTGGGCGGAACATTTTCACAAGGACAGTTTTTCACTGTATTTCAATCCTAACAAAACAAACCTTCATCAATACAGCATATCTTGTTCATTTTCAGTTTTATCAAACATTTTGCATCATTATTTTAAAAAGAAAGTGATGATTCTTATAGACGATTTCGACTCGTTTGAAGATTCGGTGGCTTGTAAAAACGAAAAGGAGAAGAATAAAGTCAATACTTTCATGGGTATATTGTTTAGTGACATTTTGTTATATAACAAACATTTATTCAGAGCAGTGCTATCGGGATCGGTAAATCTTGGAAGATTATATCTGAAAAAGGTTAGTAATAGTGAAAAGCCTTACATTGATATTGCGGACGAAACAGAGCGTTATTCTCACAGCTTGTGGAAATATTATGGAATATCCCGTGCAGAACTAAGACATATTTTGCAAAGATTTATGAATGAAACAGAAAAAATAACAGAAGCAGAAGATAAAATTTTAAGCTCAAGTGGTTGCAACAATGGATCTTACAATGAAGCAAGTCATCCATGTAGTGTTTGGTCAGTAATGCAATACTTCAGCAAATTAAAACCACAAACAAAAATATGAACTTTACATGTATTTGTATTGTATTGTCTATGTTTGCATTTCTGTTTTAAGATGAGTTTACTCACTGATTACATTCTAAAATAATAGGGTTTAATTATAAAATAAGAAACACTATTTTATGAGGTTTAAGAAATGTTTATATCAAAATTAAACTGCAATATTAATTATATCAGGGTAATAACTTGCATGTTAGTTACAACAATTTAGTTATGTTGGTTTCTTTTGTTTATTTTAATAAACTATGTATGGCATGTCCAAAATCTTTAACGTGAATCTAAATAGTAAACAGTCCATCCATATGTTCTACTTTCTGCAACTAAAACATTTTTACATTAGTAATAAAAAAAACTACAGTTTTAGAATTTCCTGTTGTTAACTCTGAAAATATGTGCTCAGAATACAATATTTATCAAGTAGTTTTTCAAAATTTTTTATCTTCATAATATTTAAATGCATGCACTATGAAAAATAATTAAAATATATTGAATATAAAACCAATCCACTCACATTGCTTTTAATTTTAATTGATGCACATCATAATAGCGTGGTGGTAATGACATACACTGTCATTTCATATATTGCTGTTCGGTCAACTACTATAAGTGAAGCAATAAACTTTATATATGATGATGATATTAAACTCAATCAAATTAACACTTGCCATTACATGATGGAATGCAAATTGTACCTGTCAAAACACTGTAACCAATAAATGTAAACTACATTGTGGTTTACATAATTTAACATTATTTATTTTTTACGAAGAAAATAATGATTTACTAATGCTATCTTTACTTTTGTGTCCTAATTACATTTATAATGGCATTTCTAGTATGTTAATATTATTTTTTAACTACTAAAACTTCTTTCTGCGTTTTCTTTATTGCTGTCCGTACGCAATCCTGCAAGAAAATAATTTGATTAAAAACAAACTTTATACAATAACTGTGTATCCAAAATGATTAATGGAAGTACGATTTTTTCCTTTTTCCCTTTTCGATCAGCATTAGTATTATCAACACTTTTATATTTTCTCAAATTTGCCAGCATATATTTACAGTAATAATACATTTAATTTAATAGTTGTATTGTCATCACCTATTTACCCATCAATCCGTCTGAAACATCTATTTTTAAATACTACAAATACTTAAACGGCTTTCTATAATACCAGAAAATATTTATTACTACATCAATTTGACGGATATAACATTATCTTTTACATTTTAGATAATTCACTCTTATTGATTACTACAGTTACCAATAACATGGGATTTGGCTCAGTTCGAATATGTAGTAAATGGAAATTTATGTATGATGGTTTATGGATGTTTTATGTATGATCATTTTTGGATAAGTCTAGTATGAGTATGTTACCAGAATCAATATATACTCTATGTCAGTTTTCTATTAATTCACTTCCATAAAAAATGCATTTGATTGTTGAAGTTGTCAGCTGTTTTAGAATTTTGACTATTTCAACTGAGCCAGCTACGGTCAATGTTGATAAGAAACACCGTTCAATTATTTTATACACCACTTTTGAATCTTACGGAACAGTTAAAGGAATTAAAAAATGTACCAACTGGTATGACTCGATCAACTATCTGAGAAGGACCAACCTTCATAAAACACCGAACAAAACTACACACTCCATCCAAATAATCTTCTTAATCAAACTATGTTCTCTACGACGAATTATCTGGCCACATTAGGTCTATTCCTCAGAAAGAGAGGGTCAGTCTTCTTCGGAGCGCGGCATTGCTTCGAAAGGCATAAGTCCAAAAGACACTGGTCCAAAACGAATGCAAGGGTGAGTGACTGGTCTGAAAGGCCCTGCTTCAAAAAGGCATTGGTCCGAAAATGAGTTTTGATTCAGTGCTTTTTGGAGCAGTGCCTGGATCTCGTGTTTTAACAAAATCACAAATCAAAGAAATGGGAAAACTTTAAGCTCTATCAAACTAATTCTTGACCAAATGCATGCTTATAACAAAACAAAGACTCTCAGAAGTAGGCCTAGAATGGTTCTGTTTTATGATTAGATTGAGGTATCTCCCTGGTCACTTAGGGCAACGACCTAGGGTAATGTTAATGGGTCTTTGACAGCTCCTTATGATGGGGAAACGATGAAATACGACTGTGAGAGAGATAAGCTTGTATGTGACACGAGTTGACCGACCTGTCCGTAGAACTAACAGTTTTAGAGGGATTTTCGTGTCTGGATTCCGAGATTGTCGTCGCCTCGGTCTTAAGTGAGCTATAAAAATATACAATGGTATTGGGCCCTATAAAACGTAATGGAGTTTTTGAGTTAGAGTTAATGGTGAGGTTTTCTAAAGCTATCGTGTGATAAATGTATATCAAACATAGTTGGCTCTATAGCTTATTAAAAGTAGAAAATGTTTTTAAATATTCGAGCATATAAGAATTAGGGGTTACTCGTATTAGTCACAATACCAACCCTTAAAGTTCAACATGTTGCATGGTTATGATGATGGCGGATTACAAACTCATATTACCCACAAATCACCCAACATTTTTGGGTCACTCCCGGTTTCAAAGTACGGTAGTGAATTTTGATTTAAGCTTTTTCTATAGAAACGGAAAAATTGTATTTTCAAAAAACGACTCAAACAGTTTTAATTAAAATGTATCAAGTCATGGCCCCTTTAACTCTAAAAAACCGATACAGTTCCAAATGCTGTAAAATATAGGCCTACAATTAAAAAGTAATTTAATTTTTTGTAATTTTACCGAGGAATATCATTGTTACTACCACTGCTAGTCCGTTATAAGGGTTGTTGACAAGCTGATAGGAGAAAGTATGTGCCAGTTTATTACAACCGTTAATTGTAATTTGTGTTGTTGCTGTTTACATTTCCCTACCGTGTGTTTGAGTACACTCAAAACTTATCGTCTTTTAATTCTGTTGATAAATTAGGTATGTGGTCAAAATACAAGGGAAATAGGGATGATTTAATCAATAAATCATCCCTGGGACAAAGAAGTAAGATACTAGCAGGAATGCTTAATAAACGTTATTTGTCTCAAAAATTTCCAACTTATTTATTTGGTCCTATGAGTTGTTAAAAAGTGAAAACTCAAAGCATTTTTAATATCTTCAACGATAAAAGGTTTTAAATGTAAAATGTAAGGCCAAACCATTATTCAATATACAGTATTTGATTCTGAAAGAGAAAAGAGGGGACGTTTTATACAGCAGTTAACTAAACATTTAAGTTTAACTTTCAACTTTAGGATTCAGATGGAAATCAAAATAACCGTAACTGAGACTTTAACTGGTCGTCATTGATTTTAAACCGAGTTTCATTCCTAGTTACGACCTCTCAAACGAATTTCCTCTTCTGAAATTCCTTACGCCGATCGACCTTTTATTGAAAATGTTTAATGCTAATGAAAAACATTAAATAATCTTCTGATTTCCCTGAGAAAACTATAAAAACAAATTGGCAATTAAAATGAGTACATACAATTTATTGAATTAATAAACGATTTCATACTCAAATAATAGTAGTTACTTACGTAGTTAAAATATTCCTAGTGATATATTTATTGGATTTGTTAAAATATATTTTTGGTCTGTCAGTAAACATAAATTACTTAGGACGTTATTTCTGTGATTCAAAACAAAAAGTTATTGTACGAATGTTGAGCAAAATTGTCCTTTACAAGTTGTGAACAAATATGATTTTTAACATGTTTACACCCATCACGAAGAAAGTTTCCAATTTACAGTAACATTTATTAAATTCTGATAAACTTTTAAGGACAATAACTGTTTGTACTTTTTAACGTTAAAAATACACTATATACTAAGTACTAATCTTCGGAAACAAAAATAAACAGACAATCTCAATCAATCACTCTAATCTTGCATTGATATTTATACATACGTAACTACTTGGCGTACAAAGTAATGAAACTGATAATGGCCTATGTGCAGCAAAATAACTCCAACTCAAAATAGTTTTAATAAACTACTAACCTTATTGCAAATTCATGAATTTTTTTCTGGTGCAGCTGCTTGTTATGTAAAAGATCATAGTCCTACATAAAGATAACTGCATCTACCTTCAGTTTATACAACCCACACACATTGAGAAATACATTGTGCTGGAGATCATAACTATTTGTAAGGGTTTACAACAGCTAGGAGCTAGAAGCGGCTGGGTCGTGGGTCCGAGCTCCGTGACCCAAGAAACGCCGCTGGGTCCGCGCCGCGCCGCACACGCCAGTCTAGCTGTAATAATCCTAAACACTGGCTCAAGGTCACCCCAACAATTACATCTCTGAATAAAACATATCTCACAGAACTGTGGTGTGATTTATCATTGTGGAACTGTTTCGTTTCGTTTGTTAATTGTTTTGGCTGTGATTTGAGTATGTGATTGTGTTGAGTTTGGTTAGTAAAAATGCAATATCGTCATTTGTTGAGGAAGAGTCGTTTGGAATCAATTTTTAATATAAATTTCAAGTGAATTATCGGTAAAGGTTAAAAATTGCACTTTAAAAGTGACATCAGGCAGGATTGTTTCAACAAAACTGCTACCTATCATGGTAAAGGAATTTCTTTTAACAGAAAATCGTGGCCTATAACTGTTCGGGATTCCAAGCTTTTAATATACGTTTTATTTATTTATGGTTTCCCAATTATATGGTTGTTCTTGTGCAAGATAGAACAAAACATCCATATTAAACAGAGGTAATTTGTAAATTTTGTATATTACGATATTTTGTATCACTTGGAGTAAGATGTAGCCTTATGAATCTTGTTGTATTAGCTAACATTTTAGTGTCACGTCTAAAACTAGCTCCAGCTTTTGAATACACTGGATCACAGGAAAACCTTTCCTAGAACTTATTTTCTCTTGTAGGATACTAAAATTATCAGATGCTTTAGTATTACTTTAATGTTTTTCCAACATAAATTTATGCTAAACCCTCCTAGATCCATAAGGATATCGTGTTTCGTACTGTGG